CTCTGATTACAACTGGCATGAAATAAGAAAATTTTGCTTCCAATATTGTTTGCATATTTATTATATTAATCTAAGCAATACATTTCATACAAAATCTATATATACACTCAGTGCCAGCTAGATAGACACAGATTGATGGATGGAATCTTGGAAGTTTCTGCAAAAAAGTGTAATTTTGTCTCCATTGTAGAAGGATTACCTTCCTCTAAAGGCCATACACTCTCACGTCGATGTTGAAAACTACTCATAAATCCTATTGAAATGTAATACCACACATCTGTTATACATGTCTAGATTGAGGTGTCCACAGAGTCAATCTCAACATAGCAGAGAAGCTGAATACGGAGTAATTCTTTACAAGCATAAAAATATAAGTTAAATTCCCGAATCAAGATTTAATTTCTTAAATGCATACAATTGTAGAAGTCTTACCTGACAATCCATATCAGGAAACTGGTTTCGGAGCTGATCAAATAGGCTCGTCGGCGACGGCGCAACCGAGAACCGAACCAGAGAAGTGAAGGAAGAGCGGCGTATTTTCTTTGAAATCGGAGGTGAAGCTGACGTCGGTGACGATGGAATGTCGTCGAAGAAAGATGAATCACTACGGCGGTGAGCTAATTTCGACGAGCAGAGAAGAGATGGAGCTCCCTCCGGCGAGCTTGAGCTTCTCCGGCGAAGTTTGGTCAGAGTTAATGAAGAAGAAGGCGTGAAAAGACCAAAATGCCCAGGGCAAATCGGAGCTCTCGTCTGAGACTTGACGGAATACGGCCATAGGGACTGATTTGACAAAAAACAATTATTTTCGGGGACTAAATCGATGAATACGTGATTCAGGGGCAACATTGACAAGTCGCGAATAAGTGAGGGACCAAATCGTTGATTCGCCCTTTTAATTATTTTATCACTATTTCTCTATTATTAGTGCCCTCGTTTTCTTACTTTTGAATTATTTTATCAAATTAATTACTAAATAGGGACACTCACATCTTGGAATGTCAAGTATGAGTTGTAAGCCTGAAATTTTTGACAAATGGACACCAATCTCTACGTGAAAGTGAAAGTAAAAGCTAGTCTACATTTTGATTTGAAATTAAATGGGAAGGATTAAAGAGTTGTGCCTATAAATTCTTGTACAATATGTCACACATGCAGAACTAGTAGCCTCAGGGCGGAGTTACAGTGGAGGCAGCTGCCTCCCACCTCTCCCCCCCCCTCCGCCCCCCCCCCCATGTAACCTTGTATGTCTATATGTATATATAGTACAACTTTACTATACATAAAACAAAACAGAAACTATTAGCAAAGTTGAGCTTGATTAGTTGGCTTAGTGTGTGATTGGTCTTGGAGAAGGCCGGTGTTCGAATCTTTTTTATGCTTTCACGTTACAACACAGTTTTTTCACTATTATTAATAGTGCCCTCTTTGTCTCACTTTTGAATTATTTTATCACTATTTCTCTATTATTATTATCATTAATATTAGTGCCCTCTTTTTTTTACTTTTGAATTATTTTATCAAATTAATTATATTTTTAAAAAAAAAACCAAATTCATTACGAAATATGTTTTATATTTTGTTATGAATATTTTTATAATATTTTGATGTGTTTTATAGTTTGCTTATATCTAACAAATATTTATGGCTATAATTCTTTAAGTGTTTCATTTTTTTTTTCAAATTAACATTTTTGTTTTACTGTTTCGCCCCACTGAAAAAAAATTTCTGGATCCACCACTGGGTGGCACTGCCCCATTTTCCCCAATTCATTCACTTTTTACTGAATAGTTTTACTTCATTTATTAAATTTTTAATAATAGTATATACTCTTTTCCTTCTCAAATATAAATAGTTGAAATCTAACCATCAACCCCAAGGTTTCAAATTTTCTTTCTACCAATTATGTATGTTTTCTCTCTCTATTTAATCTCTATTTTTTTTAGCCATATTTAAACTTTATAAACCTTATACCTAACTTCAATAAATTATTTTTTCTTCATACCTAACTATACTAATTTTTTTCTCTCTCCTAAACTTTACAATCTTCCTTGACAAATTCAAAATAATTTTTTTTTTTACTTCATTATTGCTTGTATATTTTGATTTTTTAAATTTTTTCTACGAACTTTTTATCCCTAACTTCTACATTTTCTCAACTTTCTCCCTAACTTTTAAACTTTAGGGATGGCAACGAGGCGGGACAGGGGCGGGGAGTATACTCCCTGTTCCCGGCCCCAAAACCCCGACCCCATCCCCGTCCCCATCGCCGGCGGGAAATAAAAAATAGTCTCCATTCCCGTTCCCGCGGAAAATTTAGCGGGGACGGTGATAAACTTTTAGTTAAAATCTTAATTTAGTGTAATTTTTAATTTTAAAAATTAAAAACTTAAGTTTTAATTTTATATATATATATATATATATATATATATATATATATATATATATATATATATATATATATATATATATATATATATATACAAATCTAATAAGAGCCAATAATGTTAGGCCCTTAACTAGAACAAAAAAATGTCGCTGTAATTGTTTTTAAAATGAATGGTTTATATTATTTTGATTTTAGTATTATTTAATAATTTTTCTTATTTACCCTCTATTATATTATTTTCTTCCCAAATAACCCTACATTCCGTTAGTATAAACTTTAGTAACAAAATATTCCGTTAACTATTTATTATTATTAACTTACTCATTAATATCTATAAAAAGTCTTAGGTTCGAACCGCATCCCAATTAAAATTGGCATAATTGTTAAACATATACTACGAATATGTTAAAACATATATATATATATATATATATATATATATATATATATATATATATATATATATATATATATATATATATATATATATATATATAATTTAACATAAACTTTGGTCAAATAATTAACCCGACTAAATACATAGTATTCAAAGTTAAGCATCAAAGATTATAAATTAGGAACTTAAAAAATCATTTGATTTTCTAGCATTTAAAAAATAAAACAAATTTAGGTTAATTTTGTTTCGTTTAATTAATCTTCTTTTGATTATTTAGAACAAAACTTAATATTTCAATTATGTTTTTGCATTATTGAAATGATTTAGATCATTATGGTATTAATATTTTTATATGTATTTTTATAATGGTACAATTGTACATTACCTTACAAATATTATACTATTATTTTTTCTATCGAACAAAATTTTTCTTACATCATTGTCAGACCTGCACGACCTAACTACAAAGTTGTTGATCATAAATACAATTACACCTGGACTCTAAAACGGTACGATCATTTTTCAAAGAATTGACAATGTTGACATCCCACTGACCCCAACCGAATAGTCCAAATTACTATTGCAAATAATAGCTCTGTGCTTAATGCCTAGCAGCATATCAAGTGTATATATATACATACTATAACATTATATTTCTTTTTCTTTTTTCTTTTTTTAAATTTTATGCAACTAGTAAATATATTTTTAATTATTTTCTTTGAACAATTCTGTTACTATAAATTCGAGTCTTCAATATTGTTATGAATTTCTTATGAAATAGTTTTTTTTTTGTCGTGTTGATGCTTATTAATACTACTACTACTAGTTTTTTTACACGCATTGCGCAATTAGATAATGCCCAATGTTTTTTTTTTTTTAAATACGTACTTTAAAGTATATCAAGACAATATTATATTGAAATTGTTCATGCAAGATAATATAATCAAGATTGATTATAATTGTAAATAAAATCTACTATACTAATAAGAGCCCAATCAGCTAACAACTATTATAATAAAATCTACAATCTCTAATTAACCCAATCAACTAACAGCTAACTGCTATTAGCTAACAACCATTTACCAAACAGGACCAATTGTTTTGAGGGGGGAAAATATCATCACTTTGAGGTAAAAACTATCACTTCGGAGAAAACTTGTTAAAATATGCAGAAATATAGGGATTAAAGATGCAGTGAAATTTTTATAAATATATAGAAGATGTTAATGCATAAATTTTTATAAAATCGCATCATTTTTAAAAAAAAAAAAAAATCCATATTTGTTTTAGCTTAAATACACGTGAATAGATCAAGAAGCCACTGACGTTTTATTCCTTCAAACTTTTACTTATTTATAGAAATGCCATCACCAAGTCTCCATCCATTCATTTTTTGTGACCAACGACAAACCGAGTTCAAATATAAGTTCGGAAATGGTTAAAAAGACAGTTACCCTATCCCTAGTCATCCCATATCTAGAACACTAACCTTTCTAACACACATCTGATGTGAGAATTAGTACACTTCTATCACATGAAAAGTTCACCCAACCCATAATTTGATGCCCTCAACAAGAAGACCTCATCATCACATGGACTCCAATGAATATCATTCCCAAACTCACAAGATAGTATACTTATAGCATGTTTGATTCCCAAAATAGGTCAAGAATACAACATTTTTAAGAATAGTACACTCACAAGGGTGTGAGTACACCATTTTCCTTGCTAAGAATGTCTTCCTAGCAAGTAGCAACCACTATTGTTCCATGTCCATTCATAGCCATACTAGATTTTTTTTTTTTTTTTATCAGACCACGAAATGTCCTGAGCATGCCCTAACTATAGGAGACACCTTTAAGCCCGTACCATACTCAGCACCGGACCGGCCCAATTAAAGCGCAAAGTGCTGGTTAGATTGATTTTTTCATACAAGAGGAGGTTCGAACTCCTGACCTCTCTTAAGAACAAGTGATTAAAAACAAACATGAGCCAATATTCAATTCCATCAGATTAAGGTTTCATATTTGTACAAGTTGAAATAGCTACCCAACCAAGAATATGCCTCGGCAAATTAACTAATTATTGGCAAGTTCTTGGCTTGTTAAGGTCAATAGACTTTCCATACCAACACAACTTCGTATGTTTGACCTGGTGTTATAAGACGAGCCAATCCTAACTATTTTTTCGAGAATTTTTCGTTTGGACAAAAATATAGAGGCTTGAAGATAATTAGATCAATAACTTCCATTGTGATATGACAACAGTCCATAATCAATTCAATCAATAAGACCTTATCATTTGCAGCAGTTAAGAGTGTTATCCAAGTGTATTTACCTGACTTCAAACTTCACTTTAATTTGGCAGGACTTGCGACTCAAACGTAGTATAGATTTGCTATTCAGTACACCATGGTTAGGAGATAGAAGCGTCTTTATATTACTGTACAGAATTTGTTGAACATACACCCGTTTTTGCATACTTTAATCCTCACCTTAAGCAGATGACTTGCAAGCAATAGCAGAATATGGTTCATTCACCAACTTCAACAAATGGAATTCCCCTGCCATCAATTCGAGACAGTTAGTAAAGCATTTTCTCACACAAAAATATATTTAAACAGGCACAATTTATTAATTTCTGAACACTGCACTTTTTTTCTTTTGTCCCTTCAATTTAAATTAACAAGAAAGCATTACAAGTGAAGAAGAATGCACCCAGAAACCACTTTCTAGAGTTGAAAGGACAAGGAATGTTAGATAAGCAATCAAACTACCAGCAACCAGATATCTCATTATTTCCTAATCATTCTAGTCACCATTCAAAATCTTGACTCCATGTGCTGTGTTGTCGCTCATGTATTGAAGGCCAAGCAAGCAAGGTAGTTCCAGATTCCAAAAGAAACAGAGGCACATGTAACCAAGCTTTTTGGGAGGGAAAGGTAAATAGAGAAAAATCGAGTACAGAAGGAATATAGATGTACTTCCTATACTAAAGTTCCAAATGCAACTTACTAAGAAAAATTGATAGATAAGAAATTCATAACCTTGTAAATGAAGAAATTAGTTACCTCACTCAAGATCCAAATTTGAAATAACATTTGAGTAATAAAAGATATGGCACAATTTGGGTAGGATGAAGAAGCACTTCTTTTAACAAGTATATTGAAGAAATATGACTAAGTGTCGTAAATCAAAGGAATAAGGCAGAGTTAGGTCAGTAAGATAAATGGCTAAGTGTTTAGATGTAGACAACATGCAATCACCATATATGAGCTATGTTCTCTCTCTATAGGGCTTCAATGAAATTAAATCAACTCAAACACTATCAATGTTTTGGAATGCTTGTAGAGATTGTTATGTAGATTTGACTCGGACATTTCAGGTTCGACCCCAATCTCAATTTGCTTCAAGTTAGGCCCAAGGAAAAACTGTATATATCCAGACTCAAATTAAAGGCTCCTTCAATACACGGTTATCAAGGCCCCTCAATATTATGACATTTTATTGATTAAAGTTCTCACCAGTCACCACTCCTTGATGACAAGGATGGAATCAAAGTGTTATTCTAGGATTTGCAATCTGATATAATTAATTCCATTTGACCTGCTGTCCTTAAAAATGGTCTAATAACTCATACGAAATAAAGAAAGCAGATGTCCAAAGGTAAGCTTAGACTGAGCAATTCAAGGTAGTATCACATTTCTAACCCAAATTCAATTTGTATCAATTTATAGGTAATACGCACACATGTATTGCTCGAAATGATGAGTACGATGATACAGTTATTACAATTTACAATTTTAAAGGGACTAATACACCTCAACTCAACACTGAGTCAATGAATAATATAATATAATCACAATTTTTCTACATCAACTCAAAAAGGAAACTAATACATAAACCCCTTAATCAAGAAGCCTAAAAAACCCTCAATAAAGGGACTAGTACACCTCAAACTCAAAAATGTATGAACTGGGGATTGATCCCTTAAGCTTAAGTCAGGGTTGCCTCCCAATAGCCAACAGGTGAATATCTCTCCCTCTCTCTCATTTTATATGTACACACACACATATATTACAAAACATGAGCCATTTTGAAGAATTCAAGTAAAATCCTTAACTTGTAATAGTCTAATCCTGAAATTTGAGCGCAAGAATCAAACTTCAATAAAATCAAGTTTTAAAGTTCTGTTTTGGGATTGATTCATTTTAGCCGTTGTTCTCAGTTATCAGCATATATTTCGTGCAACAGTACATTTCTTCCAAAGCAATGCTAGGCCTACAATGTGCTAAGGCAAGCAATTCAAGTATTAACAGAAAGAAAAGAGCAACAAATTTCTTACCAGCCTCCATGTCTTGAGAAGTAATCATTATCAAGTGATATAGCAAGTGCAACAGCTACTGCTCGCTCAGAGAGGGTTAGTGGACGAACTACATCTAACTCTTGGATCTACATGGGAGAGTAAAAAACATAGTTTAGAAGAAGAATAAAAACAATAATCTTACTAACCTATGAATCTTCATAAGATGGTTTACCCCTCCAACTGGAGCAATACTGGAATCAGCTTTACCAAATTGGATCACATACTGGCCAGCATCAGTAAAAATCTGCAATATACAGATTATAAGTAACAGGCATTCATACTTCTTTATTTCTTTAGAGAGGGTTGAGTAAGAAGTCAAGTTAAAGTACTGTAAAGCATGCAACTAAGAAATGTATTTTAATTATTAAATAGACGATCATAAGAGATGTTTCTTCATAGTTAAACGAAGCAAATGTGAAGCTTTTACATGTTAGTACCAGTTCTCATACCTTGGTGGCTGTGGAGGAAAAACCATCAACCACCAAGTCAAGGCTCAAGAATGATAAAGAGAAAGCTATTTATGTAACTGTTATAAAAACAGAGAAATAAAATAAAATGATGATGATACATATTTGAAAGGTTTCAACCAAAGCCATTTAGGGATAAAACATAAATAAATACATAACAGGAGAAGTCAATATTCAAATTTGCTAAATGAAGTATACCACTAAAACTAAAGACTAACCTCAAAACCAAATCCCCTCCAGTCACGATCTATCTGAGCCAGCACTTTCCCATCAATGTCCTTTAATGTAAAAGTCCAGTTCCAAAAGCCAGGATTCTCAACCACAGCAAATTGGTCGTTACTGCAACACAATAGAAAATCTTTTCATTATTTGGATAAGTTTGATGAAATGATAACAATTAATTAAAATTAGCTGGAGTCAACATCGGACATCCAGGAAGTGAAAAACAAGCACAATGCAACTAAAAGTGTAGACTTTTCTTTTTCATGCCCATGATGCTTAAATCCTGAAATATGGTCCTGTCACAAATTTGAAATAGATCACCAGATTTGGCATTTGGATTAACATTGTCTAAATAAGTTGAAAGAGATCAGCATTAGAAATTTGCTACACTGAATTTCTTACTTCAACACTATTAAGCACCAGAACCATTAATATTATGCATATAGTGAGGCCCGAAAAAAATCAATAATTGGGCAAAAATCTATGAATCGAGAGTTATCTAATGGTGTGCTTGTATTAAAAGTTGAAATATCTCAGAAAAAGTTACAGATCTGCAGTCCATATTTGTTTCAGACCATTTTGACTCCACTTAAGAGACAAATTGCATTTTTCTATGCTTTAGAGTGATCTTCCAGCACTAACAGGAAAAAAATCAAATAAGACAGTAAAAAACTGATCTTCCCTCTCATAGCATATAGCTTGATATCCTATAAAGAACTATGTTAAATATATTCCTTAAAAAATAACATAAAATATGTGATTTAAACTCTTACCAGTTACTATGTATAATTATTATTGCTTAATGAATCACATGTTCTATATTAAACATCAATCAACAGTGTAACGCAGAAATTCATGTGCATGCCTTGTCCTTTGATCAAGGTATATCCAAATAATTTTCCCTTAAATTCAGTAAACTTAATTAAACTTTAAAACACTAATTTAAGCAGCAAAAACTGATGCATTTCACCATTTGTACTTTTGTAGTTTCATAAAACTTATGATTATGGACTGCAATGATAGTTTATGACTTATATGACTCATAAAATATGTTATGCAATCTATAGTTCATATTTGTTGACAAGTGCTAAAAGTCAATTATTTAATCCATAATCCCAATATCTGAATAAATAAGCTTCATCAAACAGACACGTGATATCTTAAGCAACATCAGCCTATTCTATGGCAAAGAGGAAATCATTCATAAACGCCTTCTGCAGATTAAATGCCTGCTTAATTGCAAAGTCTACGACTGGTAACTCATAGGGGGCTATCACTGGTGAAAGATATCAATAAATCTATCAATCAATTTCTGAACGTGACAGCTAAAGTTCAATTCCAGGAAATGTTGGTTTCAGATAATCACATTCAGAGGAAAAAGATATTACCCCAAATACAGATCATAAATTCTTCTCCAGAGATGCCATCTTCTGTGGACTACTCCTATTTCCTGAAAGCAGATATCTAGTGACATAAAAACTACTTATATACAACACTATCAAGAAAATGTTGATGAGTGTAGGAGATAGAACAAAGCCATTTTTTACTAAGGAGCGCAAATAACATACTTTTCCATTTATCTCAGCATAAATTGAGCTGGTGATCCACCAAAAGGGCCTTCGTACCTGATTGTAACCAGAATGCAAGGTAAATCACAAAAGTCAAGCATTTAGATATATAGATACTTGTAATGTGTGCATGAAACACCCTAAAATAGAAGCACATTACAGTTCCTGATAGTTCAAATATGTAGAAAAAGGTACTTGAAATTCATACCCTGAAAAGCTCATTACCCAGACCATCAGTTATATAAGCCACAAAAGGCCGTCTTAGGCGAAGCAACTGCATAGTAGCAAAATAATCAATTCTTTTAAAGAGAAGATTCAAAACAGTAAAGCACTGTGCTGATAACAAAAATGCAGCATTCTTAGTTGCCCAGTTTGGCATCACGAGAGAAAAGTACTAGGAGTAGTCAAGGATATGATGAAGTTCTGATGCGGGCTGGGGACATGGATATGATGCAGGAAGGCAACAATATTTTCATCAATTATTCATTAGATGTTTTAGTAAGATTAAAATTACTTAATAGTTCCTCTCAAAAAAAAAATTACTTAATAGTTAGTTGTCTTAGTCTTTTAGGTGTTCTACTAATTTGATACAATTAGAAGTCTTTGTCTTAATTAGTTATCTACTCTTGAAGTGATTATTAGTTATTCGAGTCTTGTATATTCCCTATTATAAAAAGGGAGAATTCATTGGATTAATGGGAAGCAGAATCCCAAAAAAGGGACTGAGGGAGTTTAGAGTCTCAACCAAACCCAACCTTTAAGTGTAGCAAAACACTTCTTCATATTCATTCTTCTGCACGTGACATAGACCGTGACATTTGGTTCCGTTGCCTGCATCATGGGCAGCTCACTTTCGGACAATTCGGAATTCAAAGCTCTCAAAGAACCAATATTCGAATGAGTTGATGGGGGCTAGGGGCATGGATATAATGCAAGAAGGCAACAATATTTTCATCAATTATTTATTAGATGTTCTAGTAAAATTAAAATTGCTTAAAAGTTAGTTGTCATAGTCTTTTAGGTGTTCCTATTATTTTGATTCAATTAGTAGTCTTTGTCTTAACAGTTATCTAGTCTTAAAGTGATTATTAATTATTGGAGTCTTGTATTTTCTCTATTATAAAAAAGGGGAGAACTCATTGGATTAATGGCAAGCAGAATTTTAAATCCCAAAAGGGGACTAAGGGAGTTTTGAATCTCAAGCAAACCCAGCCTTGAAGTGTGGCAAAACACATCTTCCTATTCCTTCTCCTGCCCGTGATGTAGACCACATAACATTTGGTTCCGTTGCCGGTGTCATGGGCAACACACTTTTGGACATCCGGAACTCAAAGCTCTTAAAGAATCAGTGAATGAGTAATGAAAGAGTACTGCATACGTCTCGGAGAATTAGGTGAAGATGATAGCAAACTAAAGCAGTCGATAAGTAAATTCCTCAAGGGCCAAGACAAAACACCAAAAATCAATACACCAACTTCCTCAAAAATTCAGCAAGCAAAGGGTGATGTTATTTCACTCAGCATGGATGATTCATCCTCCACAATTATTGATCACCCATATCTTGAGATAGCGCCAATGCAAGCCAGTGTTTTGGCCGATCAACCTCATGTGGGTGATAATTCAACATGGAGGGTTGCTGATTTTCCAAAAACTAACGATGTGTCCTTTCCAAAAATTGTCTAGCGCACAGAGCGGTTATTTCACCACTCCACCACCGCATCTCATTCCATGGTTGTGCTATATGCTACTGGTCAGGATTGGGCTACAAATAACTCACTCAAAGAACACCTAGGATTTGGGTCCATCTCATCACCGTTGTTGGCTCATCAAATGATCCTTCACAAGCTAATTGTGGCTTTACCATCTGCAATTCTTTCAGTGACCCCATTTGATTATGGGAAGTCTTAGCTACATAATACAAGAGGTTACTAGTCTTCAAGCTTGAGGACAAGCCTGATGCCTTGGAGGGGTGTAATGACGCGGGTTGGGTACATGGATATGATGCAAGAAGGCAACAATATTTTTATCAACTATTTATTAGATATTTTAGTTAGATTAGAATTGCTTAATAGTTGGTTGTCTTAGTTGTTTAGGTGTTCTAGTTATTTGATTCAATTAGAAGTTTTTGTCTTAATTAGTTATCTAGTCTTAAAGTCATTATTAGTTATTGGAGTCTTGTATTTACCCTTTTATAAAAGGGGAGAATTCATTGGATTAATGACAAGCAGGAGTTTTAAATCCCAAAATGAGAGTAGGAGACTAAGGAAGTTTTGGGTCTCACGCAAACCCAACCTTGAAGTGAGGCTTTCACTTCTTCCTAATTTCCTATACCTTCTTCTGCCCATGACATAGACCATAACAAATTCCTTCCAATCAAGTATTTATTTTAAGAAATAATAAGATGGTTTTAAAATGCTTTGATACAACTCTAGTGCAGTAGAGCATAGAAATCATAAAAGTTGGCATATAAAAAATGTCTATTTGTTGCTGTGTTGCCCCTATGTAGTCCTTTTTCTCCATAAGATAAAATTCAACAAGCATTTTGATGTATTTAAGTTCATTTCTCAAATAACAATAAAATGTGGAGTTTATAAAAAGGCAAGAACTGTGAGAACTTAATAAAAGAAGATTTCCTAAAAAAAAGATAAATGCTGTGAACTAGTGAGTCGTAGGGTAACTTGAGTCAATCTCAAAATTCACATTTTGTACAAAAAAGGAGCCACTCTCCTATGTATCTCTCATGTTAGGCTACTACTAGATTAACAGAAATACTTCTGACATAATGGGGGACAGTGGATCTCAGCCACCCGCAAGATCTTTGAACTCATTATTTCTTATCCATAAGCTTGGATAGTTGGACAAAATAAAGCTCGTGGCAACTGGCAAGTAGTAAGTAGCTATAAAATTTCTGGTTGTAAGGAAAGAATAAAACCTCCAACTTGAACAAATAAACAATAAAACCTACAATTTCAACAAAAGCTACATGTATGGACTTTATAGAGAGAAAACCAAAAAAAAAAAAGTATACCTGTCTTGCAAGCAAATTACTCTTTTCACGGATATAACCTGCAGGCTGAAACGACAATTCCAGAGTGGGAAAGTAAATTGTTATGAAAGGCATTTTGTCTAAACAAAAACTAATGCATCGAAGCAATAAAATGATAATAATGTACATACCGATTGTGGGTAGCATACATCTACAATAGCATATCGGTTTTCCTGCAATTAAGAGGCCATACAATGATTACATCCTCTTCAGAACAAATATCAATATGATGCAGGAGAATACAAGTTGGAGAAGGACAAAGTCAGCCTTGTAAAAGCTGGAAAGCATAGGACTTTGAGAAAGTAAAGAAGTGGTATGACTATAAAGCGAAATAATTTGCCAAAGACCTTATAGTCAAGTAGCATTAGCCTATGACTTTAGGTAGGAGGTCATAGTATCAATAACCAGCCCCATAATTTGCCCACAAAATGACTATTGAATAAAGTGCCTCAATCATTTATACTTTTCAGGAGGAATTGGCGAACTTACAAATACCTTCATGGAAGCTAGCCAAACCTGAATGTAAATTTGATTGCAGATAAAATGGTTCATTTAAGGTTGATTTAAAGGGAGGGGAGACTTTGATCAGATGCATTGGAACTTAATATTTGAAATCTACAGATAGACATTGATAGGAAATGCATATACTATATCGGTTCTGCACTTCTTTGATCAAAGTTATATACAATTTATACATAACTTGATTGGTAGAACCATCAATGTACCTTGAGAAAGTATCTTTGAAAGATTTGAAGGGCTTAGAGGGTTAGAGTTATCCCATTATATTCTCCTCTCCTTTCCATATTGCAACATAGTCATCATCAAAATGATGAGCAGGGAGCATATAGAAGCTCTAATAATATGAAGCTTTGGTATGAAAATAGGATTTCAACAATAATTATTTTTAAAAGCACAACATAGCCAGAAACTCAGCAAAGTAACACATGTTCCCTCCCTTTTGTCGATGTGTCTTTGATTTGAAATTCTTTATCGAATAAGATAATAACATTAACCAAAGCATGCTAAGAGTTTTCAAGTCCAAAATTAGAGAAATCTTTCCTATAAACCAAATAATCTAAGATACTCAAGGCAATTCAATCAATTAATTTTAGAACTTACTTGCTCAAAGCCAAGAACAAGATTTGCCCATTCTATATCTCTAGTAATCAGCAAGTTGGATCTAGCAAGAAGAGGAGCAACCATAGCCTGAAAGAAGAAAAAGGGAAAGGCAGGTCATTTCCAAAGAATTTCAAATAATAAAATGCAGGATGGTTAAAATTATTTAGTTAGTACATCGATACCATGTTGTTTATAATTGAACTCCCATCATGGATGGAGTGCTTAAACATTTGACTTAAAATCTTTAACTATCAATTACCAGATTCCCACATTCATATCTAAGACTTCAAAACTATCATCACCAACCTATTCCTCCCATGGGCTTCCCACTATCAACAACTGCTTCATATATTTTTATGATTAAACATCCATAAGCGAAAGTAATATCAAGTTTCTCTGCCACCCCTATAATTCAAGAGTGCATAAAAAAGGTGAAGTTTGAAAAGATTGAGGACAGAAAATAAGTTTCATCAATAAAAAGACCAAGAATCAAAGATTATAAGTGAAAGGAAATAATTCTATCAGAAGCATGTTTAGACTTTACATTACAGAAGAAATCATAGAACGATCCATAATTTTCAAAGTGAATATTACAGACCAAACAGCCCTACTTACACTGTTCAGAAAGTATATATATAGTAAATAAGAGACAAAACATGACCTAATACAAAGCACTTAAGAAATACATTGAAAATGAAGAGAGAAGTCCAAGGTTTGTTATGTTTCTACTCATCTAATTACAACAATATAAAGTGTACCAAACATATAAAATCTGATCACAGGATGACAGCTTTGTTCTTTTTAAATCCAGGGAGAGAGGAGACAAGGTAACCTTACCTCCTCAGGTGATGAAGGTTGCAGAATACCCGTCACAGATTGGCTAGGCGGTGGTTGTCTAAGATTTGGCTTTGCTTCTTGAAAGGATTTTTCCTCTGCAGCAGAAGCACCAGAGAAATGTCTTCCGGATGGAAATTTGGAAAGGAATTGGCTATCAGACCCCGACTCACCATCGTTCAAAGATCTATGACTTCTTGGTCTTCGTTTTACACCAGACTGCTTCATCTTTCTATCTGCAACCCAAAGCTGTACAAAAAAATCTCTGCTCAAATCAGGATCATTTTGTGCACTCTGGCCAAATTGACGAGATACGATCATTAGAGGATGCTGCAGGCCTTGGATATTTCTCACAACAGGACCGGACAGCTTAACCATTGGTAGCATGTTTCTTCCAGAGTTCAATGATTTGGAAAGATATATGTTTCTTGGATCAGTTTGAGAAGGCAACATTGATGATGCATATCCTCTATGCAGTTTCAAACAAAAGAAAGGATTCTCTTCAACAACCAGAATCCCATTCATTTGCTTGTTAGCCATCAAACATTGTGATGACTTGTATTTTCTGGCTAAACAACGCACATGCTGCCTCCAGCTCATTTGAGAAAACTGTTATAAGACACATACAATGCCATAATTAATTGAGGTAGAATATAGCAACGTTCAAAACAAACTCAGAACCCAAAATGTTCATATAAGCCATTGAAGATAATGTCATTAAACACTTTCTGCACAGCAAGATGGAAGCAGATAATGTTCAAATTATCATGGATTCTATGACCTGAATACAATAAAATTGCATCAGTTTGCAAGCATATACAGGTGCAGAATACTTAACATACACACACACAAGCACATAAATATACATCTAAAAATCTAAAAATACAACAAATTACACAAGCTTGTATGGAGAAATTAACAAGCAATAAATATTCTGTATTTGTTTTGAACATAATCACAGGACCACTATTATCAACCAGGTTCAAAGACTTCTCAAATTATGTTATCATATCAAAAGAATGCAATGATTTTGAAATAATGTATAATCAAGAAGATAGTTACAATATACTCATGGAAAATCACAAACACTCATATATCATAATTTCATGGAGTAGTGAACCACATTCTCCGAAAATAAATGGTGAAAAATTATAAAACTATTAACAAGAAGTCAAGAAATCAGCATCAAAAGATAGATTTTTCTCATATGTTTTCCATAAAAACAAAAAGTTAGTCATCTGAAGTTCTAATTTTAAACTTAGTTCATAAAATCACTGCATCAAATTAAAGTATGCCACACTTCCCTGAATATCACTAATTTTACCGAAGTATGCATGAAGGTGAAACAAAAAATTGGAAAAAACGGTGCCAAACTGGTATGTCAAAGAACAAAACAAAGGTATCCAAAGACAAGGTTTATCGTGTAATCACTCACCGATAAGGGGAACGCCGAGTGAGGTTTTCTTAGTGTCGGAGTCTGAGATTTGAGAGTGTTGTGTTCCTGCCCACCGGAGAAGAAGGCGAAGAAATGCGAGATTTCAGTCCGTATAAATTGAAAGAAAATTTACGTATCGACCATCGATCAAGATGATGGAAAAAAAATGGAATGAAATTTGCAAAAGCGATGGCATCTTTCGTAGAATAAAATGTGAGTTTTTTCTCCACGATCCAGACTTAGGGAGTAGGGAATCGAACACGCGCCCTCTAGACTATAGGGCGTAAGATAAACCAGTTTGGCTAGACCAGACACTTAAAATGTCATTTGTTGTATAAATAGTACTCCGTATTTATTTATTTTTATTTTGATCCTATAGATACCCCTCATCCCTCATTGTAGAAATGATCCCAAAAATGGTTTGCATGGGTAGCTCAATTGATCGCAGGGGTGAAATTTGTCACAAAAGACTAATAATCAAGTCTCATCAGTACCTGAAAATTAAGAGGCTCCTTGTGCGCAGTGAGCAAAAGTACCCTTCCACAAACTGTCGGGCCGAGGTATGGGAGCGCCTGGGTGGGCAATTCCACCTTTTTGTCACAAGAAATCACCAAAAATTAAGATAATCAATTCTTCTTCCTTCAGCTATAATACTCCGAATTTCAGTTATTATTGTTATTGTTATTATATATTATTCTTCTTATTCTTATTATTCTTATTCACAACACGTTATCAGCACAAAGTCTCAGATTCAACTATTATATAGGTAAGCTTTTTTATATATTTTATAATATTTTATCCAATATTACAAATACGTCTAACCTTACAAATCTTGAGTTTGTGGGACTTGACATATTTGAAAAAAAAATTACCTTTCGTGATTATTGGATGCTGAAATGCATTTGAATGCAAAGGGTCTCGGTGATACTATCAAAGATGATAATAATGCCCTGATGCAAGATCAGGCTAAGGCAATGGTTTTCATTCACAATCATCTTGACCAAGAGTTAAAAGATGAATATCTCACCGTGAAAGAACCCTCTGAACTCTGGTAAAATTTAAAAGAAAGATAGGATGATCAGAGGACATTAATTCTCCCGAAAGCCCATTACGACTGGCTTTACTTGCGATTGTAAGATTTCAAAACCTGAGCAAATATAATTCTACTATGTTCAAAATTAGCTCTCAGTTATTATTATATGAAAAAAATTTTATTGATGAGGATATGTTCGAGAAAACCTTCTATACTTTCATGCATCCAATAGGTGCTTAAACAACAATATAGAGAGAAAGGTTTTACAAAATATTTTCAATTGATTTCATGCCTTCTTGTGGCTGAACAAAATAATGAGTTGTTGATGAAAAACCACTAGGCACGTCCCATTGGTTCAATCCCATTCCTTGAAGTGAATGGTAGAGCTTTCAATGCGGGCTAGCGGGGTGGGGCCCGCCTTTGTGGCGAGGCGGGCTAAAAAGCCTGCCAAAATGCGGGCCTAAGGATGGTCAGATCCCCCTCCCCCCCCCCCCCCCCCGCCCTAGGCCTGCGGGGCTCGCCAACTTTTTTTTTTGTTTAACTATGTCAGTAATACTAATTCAGTCTATACACAATAAGTCTGTAATACACAATACATTGACAGTAAATCAGTAATATTAATATACAAATAATCATATACAGTGGCGGACCCAGGATTTTTCTTCAGTGGGGGCAAAGAAGCAAATGGAAAATAAATTCAAAAATGTTCAAATACAAGATTCAAATACAAATAAGATAGTTAAAATACAAAATACATTCTAGATTACAATACAAGGTTTATGATGAACTACGGGATAACATTTTCCTCTACGCTCTTTCATATTTTGAAATCGTTGCAGAACTGCTTCATTTGAAACTTGATCAAAAATATCTTTTTTCAACATACGGCACTAAGAAATCATTTAATAAATCATCGCTCATCCAATTGCGTAAATCATTAACAGAAATAACAGAATCATTAAGCATATTGCTTAATCATTAACAGATTAATAAATGCTTAAATCACTCATCCATCTTAACTAACCATACTGCTTGGTTGGTTTTGTTTTTCAATCCCTAACCTCTGAATGGCAAAACCCAAATTGGCAACACAGTATCACTAAATCACTTGGGAATAGTTCGAAGTGCCAAAAACAAAAACAAAAGTGCCCAAAATTATTTAGATGAGAAGCCCCATCAAATGGATTGGTTCAAAGTCTTAATGATTAAGCAACAAGCATATATTTACAGAATTACAGAATCATTATAACATTATTGCTTAATCATTAACAGATTAATTTAGGGCAAACATAAAATAACCAAATTAGGATTTAGGGCAAATTATAATTTAACAAATTAAACATGGGCAGATTAGGAATTTAGAATTTAACAAATTTAACAAATTAGGATGCCAATTAGGATTTAGCAATTCAAAAACCAATTCAATAATTAAGGCAAATTAGGATTTAGGGCAAAATGCAAAATTAAGTGAACATGGGCAATGAGCAGAGTAGAATTAAGCAAACAAATTGAAGTATTGAACATTTGAACAAAGGATATTGAATGAGAAGGGATCGGAGTTGAACCTGGCAGTTGCGAGGCAGCGGAGTCGTCAATCGTGGGTGTTGGCGCTGGTAGTGGCGTCGGAAATCAGGGAGCTCACGGAGGCTGAGAGCAGATGGAACTCACGGTCATGGGAGAGAAGAGGAGAGACGGTCAGACGGAACTAGGAGACTTGCGGTGGCGTCAGGCTTCAGGCTTCAGGCTTCAGCTCTCCTCGCATCGCAGCAGGCAATGAAACAAATGAAATTAAAAAAAAAATTATATATATAACAGCTTTGGGGCTGAATAATTTTGGACAGCGGGGGCAGCCATGGCAGGTCCACCTCTGATCATATATACATACTCTGGGAAAAAATACACTGGAAAAAAACACACTGACAGTAACACAAATACACAATAATAAGTTAGTAAGATACGGAAGACTGGGCCGTCGGCTGAGAACTTGAGGAGTGAGAGCGAAAGGGAAAAATATTTTGATCAGGTTTTGAGTTTCGATTACTGATTAGGTGAATAGGTGATTTAGGATTTTAGGTCTCGGTCGCGTACAGACTACAGGCCTACAGGCTACAGCGTACTAGCGTTTTTTTAATAAGCGAGTCAGCCTGCCCCATCTAGCCGGGGGTTAGACGGGGCGGGCTCAAAAGTCCCTTTTTGGCAGTGCGGGCAGGTTAGTCCGGCAGCCTAAGACCGTTTTGACGGTTCTAATAAATGGTATGTCATATCATAATAAAAATCCAAAGGGTCGTGATCGTGACAATAGTTAGAATGAATTATTGAAAAATCATATCGAAGTTTCGACTGTACTCCATATGAGGATTGCCCTCTCTTATTTTAATATGATAGAATGTTTTTTTTTTTAAATTATTTTGATTAATATATATATATATATATATATATATATATATATATATATATATATATATAGTGAAAGGTTCCCGTGCGGTGAATGCTTCCCGTACGGTTGTGCGGTGGATTAATATGCGTGAGATTTGTACTCAATGTGCGTGAGTGTTGTGCTTAATGTGCCTGAGATTTGTACATAATGTGCGTGAATGTGTAAAATGCAACAGAAAATATTCATGTCAGCTTCTTCCCCATCCCCAGTAGCCATTTGACCCTCCCTGATGATAATGATGCGGAGGCGAGCTATGGTGGTTAAAAATTATGAGAATAATACAACAGAAATCCACACTTAGCTGTTGTGCAAATTTTATTGTGCGTACGTCATTTATATAAACATTCAACTGCACTGAAGGTAGCTGATAATCCAGAATCTATGGCCAAATTGAAGGAAGAAGTAACAAGAAGCTTGGGCGTTAATGTGCGTGAGTTTCTGTTCTGCTTCCTTCTGAGCTCGTAATTCTGAAATACGCACGCACATTAAGCACAAATCTCACGCACATTAAACACAATACTCAGGCACATTAAGTACAAAACTCACACATATTAACATGACGCACATTAAGTACAAATCTCAGGCACATTGAGTACAAATCTCAAGCACATTAAGTATAAAGCTCACGCACATTAATCCAACGCACATCCGCACGGGAAGAAGAAAATGCACATGATCCCTTCCCTATATATATATATATATATATATATATTCATGTTATATTAGACTATTATGTACAAATGATTATTTTGTGCACTAGTCATATATTAATTTTGGTATTAGTCATACTTTCATATAAGCTGTCATTTTTGCATAATTGAGCTAGAATATGTTATATGTCTTTACATCCAATTTGTGCATGATTGAAACATAAAATATTGTGATAAGCTTTTTAGAAATCATCATTCCACACATTGTATGGTGAATGCTATGACTATTATGTGACGATTGTTTGTGTGTCACAATTTGCTATCTTATGATTTATGGCTATGTCATAAAAGAGAATTTTTCATAATAATTATTTGAGCTAATTCCTTTTTTAGTCCTAGACTTATTAGGCGTTGGACAATTTTGGTCCTCCATAAAAAATAAAAAAAAAAAGTTGTCAATTTGTAGCCACGCTTATTGGTCGTTGGACACTTTTAGTCCTCCATCACTTGTGTCGTCTGTTGACCGTAAAAATGAAGGGCATTTCTATCTTTTATATGTCTTCTTCTAGTCCTTTTATTCCTCCATTCCAGTGGTTGTCGACAAGAAGAACAGAGTTCCAAGGCGTTCAAAGATGGCAGTTGTAACACTCCCAATTTTCATACATTCGAGCCTAGTAATTATCATACTTAAAAGGTAGATATGGAAATAAGAGTGAAGTTAAAGCAAATGCTAAACACCCAACAAGAAAGGAAAAGGGGATGGTACTCCGTAGCCACTCTTAATAGAGCGACTACCCGGACATCCCACAATAGGATAACATTCATAATTCACAAAGAAGGGGTTCACAAACCCAAATATCTGGAGTCTAAGCTCATCAACTAGTAAACAAGGCTCACAGGCCTAAGTGTCAAAGCACTATCAAGAGCTCAAGAAAGTAGTTTAAGCTACAAATGTCTACACATCAAGGGACGAGATGGAAGAATGATAAGGGAATACTAGGAACTAGAACAAAAATACTACTCTACTTCTAGCTCCAACTATGCGCGCTCAGCAATCATCAACCAGTCCTGAAAGGGGTTAAGTAAAAATACACAAAAATAACTCGTTAGCACGAATGCTAAGTATAAACTGCTCTACCCTGTAAAAATACATATAGATATAGATTTGAAAAATAGATAGTTTTATCATCACAACACGTTAAGTCAATCAAGATCATAGATAGAAGACAAGTAGGTTCACATACATACATACATACATACATACATACATACATACATACATATATATATATATATATATATATATATATTTATTGATATTAAACTCACATGTAAATGTAATTCATATGCGAACACTTATGCAAATCATGCTCAAGCTTACATGCTTACTACTCACTATCAAACACGGATAAAGCTCAAGTTAATAAACGAGGGAAAGAGTGAGGTGACATGCAATCTAGAGAGTAACACAGGTAAGGAAAAGGGGAAGGAAAACATGCTAACTTTGTAAGACTATAATATGCATAACCGTGGAAGTTAAGTGACATAAACAACTCAATCATAGTCATGAAACAACGGAATAACATGGTGAAACTAGTACTAAGCATGAAATTAATAATATATACTCTCTCTCATGAAAAATAGTATTTTTATAATTATAGGGATAATAGTATTGGAGGGGACATTTCACTTTCCATGAATTATATTTGTCTCATCAATCTCAACTGTAACATCATAATGGTGGGGATGTAGGAACTTCACCATGTGTGAATGAACCTATCTAGGCTCAGTAACTCGTTACTGGCCTAATCAACGTCTTGCCTACAAATCTCATAAGTAACTAGAAGCTGGACCGCTATCTTAAGTGTGCACACCCCTAACTGGGATTCCCAGCCCAGCGAGTAATAGCTCAAGCCCCAAAGTAAACCTAGAATTTTTCTACCAGGCTACTTTACATACATCCAGGATTTTTCTACCATAACTCATTTCACCACAACAATTCATCATTCTTTTCAAGGAACCGAAGTCCAAGCACCACCTCCAAAATATATACATTTTCCTCACATAATAGCACAATACGAATATAGTACACCAGTGACATTTTATTTCCAAAATGGGTTTCATTTAAAAGGACATATATACTAAGAATGTTAGATATACAATAGTCTAACTAATACTGAACAATAGTATACGAGAAACCTAACCTCGTATGATAGCGGAAGCGTATCATTTTGAAGAAACTAAAGACTCTATTAATCACTGAAGAATTTATTAAATGACAGTGCCCCACAAGTTAAATGCTTTTGTTCTAATAAATTTCATAATATTGTTGCAACATTTTCATAAATATGTTGCACAACCGAATGTTCAATAATTTGAACTTATGAATTTATATGAACAAATACAAGATTAATACTTGTGGAATCTTATGGACTTATTGTGTAACATACAATCCAATTTGAAACGTATGTAGCCAATTAAATCCATAAGCTTTAGTGGAGTATCTTAATGATTTTTTTCTAAATGATCACTCCCACTGATTAAAACATTCTTCAGCGAAATTAATAAAATGAACTTAATAATATACTTAATAATATACATACTCATAATTGATTTATTGACCAACTAACAAATGAAGACATAATTCCCCACCATTAGTTGGACATACTAAATAATCAATTTTTTGTTCCAATTAAAGTTCAATTAAATAATGAAGATATATTTCCCCACCATAGTGGGACATACTAAAAAAAAAAACAAAATACATCTTTCAAAACCAAGTTAGAATTTGGCTCAAAAAATACATTTTAACATTATTGGAATCCAAGAGGTATGTCAAATCACGTAACTTACTACAGTTAGTCCGAAGAACCGAGCAAGAGTCGTGGATTAATTAATAGAAGTGACTAAATTTTGGGAAGTGACTGAAAACATGTTTTGCCAATGCAAACCATGAACCTTAGAATTATAATTGAGCTAAATTTATAAATTCTAAGAAATTGTGATAAAATTATTATCTAATGGGTTGAAGGATTTATTGACATAAGACTTGCCCGTGGGCTAAAGTTTTAATTCTATTAAATCCAATTAAGAAACCCTTATGATAATATTTTTCACAATTACTAAAGAGCCAGAAGAATCTAGTGACATAAAACTTGCCTGTGGGCTAAAGTTTTACTCAATTAGATTCAACTGAAAAATTTATTTATGATGAAACCATTATCAAATGAGTTGAAGAATCAAATGACATAAAACTTGCCTGTAGGCTAAAGTTTTAGTCAATAAGATTCATTGCTATAATTATGATAAAAAACTTAAGAGATCATGTTCCTTTTCTTAATCCCTGTGGGCAAATTAAGAAATATGATCTAAAGTTTACATCATAAAACTAAACTTCATGATAGAATTAAAAATTATTTACAAATAACCATAAAGTAAATAAATTGATTTAATTCTATCATCACTGATAAAACTACTAAACTACATTCCGATACATAATTGCCTGTGGGCTAAATTATGACCGTAGTCTAGTATTTCATCCTGATTAATCATACAAATATAACGAAATTTCCTGTGGGCTAAATTTCATCATATTACATACAATTAATCACAAATGATATGTCCAAAACTTTATGTGATCAAAATAAACCGCTTAATATAAATGATTATCAAATCCTTGCCTAAACTTTATGTGATTAAAACTTAATAATCTTAGGTAGCTGAATATGCTGTAGCTATTCCTTAATTAACCAAGATTGAAA